TCGGTGGACTGGCTGACGCTTGGGTGGAGGTGGAAGGGTGAGGGAGCAAGTCAGTACTTGATTTCATGCTCCACTCCATGGCAAAAAGACATCCAAAATGCAGTTTGCCTTCAGGATACGGTATGGTTCTCCTTGTTAGGTACTCGTACCCAGCAGTCACCTACATTGGGGAAAGGGAAGACGAAGACGAAGACCTTAATGCTTTGGAGGTCCCCAGTGGGGTGTCCCGTGATTTTGGGGAATCCCTCTGGAAAGGCGCTCGGCTGGAGAGGGTACCGTGCTTTTCAATAGGTGGAATGGATTGGTCCAGTGTTGTATCAGACGTGGCCTCGCTGAGACAGGTCTCAACCTGATGGTGAGAGAGAAAGAGAGAGAGAGAGAGAGAGAAATATATATATATATAGTCTATATAGTGATGTAGTTGTGGCATGTCGAGCATCATTATTGCATATGTTACATGTTGCTTAAGATTGGGGAACGATTCTCCCATATGTCACTCTCCCAATTGACGGAGAAACATACCACATTGGGGCCGAACTGGTCCTTTTTTCCAGCGTCTGGCTGTCTCCAATCGGCTGTCTCCAATCGCCGCCGTGGCCGGTTTCGGACCGGCCCCCGTTGGTCCCCAAGGAACGACTTTAGTGCCACGTTGGAAGCCAGCGCCGCGGTGGGCTTTGAGGAATTCATGAGCTCGGTGGATGCGATCGCCCCTGGGCGGAACAACGACAGGGCCATGTGCCGCCCGGGGGCTGTGGGAGCCGGGCGGGATTGGTGGATGCGGAAGATTGGTGGAGCTATGCGCGGTTGGACGTTTCTATTTGTGAGGCGCAAGCCGGACATATTATTTTGTTTAATTACTGATTGGATGTCACATGATGTCACGCCTCTACTAGGCCTTTTGGGGGCCCAATGTGGGTACCTGAGGAGCACCAAAAAGTCCTTACAACTAGTTGCAACTATAGCTGCCGCACTGGCGAAAGACCATCCAGGATAGAGCTGTTCGTCTTTCTGTTTTCCTAGAGCTGTTTGGCAGCTGTTGACTCTCCACCTGCTGGGCCATGTGCCGCTTTATCCTCGCCTCCTCGAGGTCATGGGAAGGAAGACCTTTGAGACGGTGCGAGATATGGAGGACGGTCCGATGGTCCTGCTCGGGCTTCGGAATCCGTTTCGGGTCGGACCCGTGCTGGAGCTATTGGCCCTTCTGTGAGAATCCTCCGGTGCTGGGTGGACGTTTTGGTAGACCCTCAGGGTTCGCAGGATGTCAATCGCTATGTTCAACTGCAGATGTGGCACGATTCTTTCTTCCGGGAGCGAAGCAGTTCACCATGTTCCCTTTTTTCTCCCCTTTCCGGACTGCATTTCGAGAGCTCCCGCGGTCTTGTCTTGGTTCCACTGCCGAGTTCGCCCGCGCGCGCAGGGAGCCCCCTGGCCCTACGGCGACTTGCCGGTGACGGTGCTCACGGAGAAAGGCGTTGTGGTGCCCGAGCGCCTGAGAGGTGGCTCGGCCGCCCGTTCGTTCGGGCGTTTTCAGAGTGTTTCTTTGAATGCGGGAAGGAAGGACTGAGCGGCAGCATTTCATTTAAGATATTTAAGGCAGGGGAAAGGGATGATAGGTCACGAACACTTCAGTCAAACCCTTAAGCGCCTCCGTCCGCCCTCCACGCGTGGCGTTTCGAACGCGTGGCGTTGAGGAAAAGTTACGCTGGCCAAGGGCGCTCCACAGGAGCGACGAACAGGTGTAGTGGAAGAGCTTCTACATTACGCGTGCACCGCTTGCTCAACTACTACAGCTACTAGACAGCCAGGAAAAGGGGAATTAATCTTACACATTTCTGCTTTGTGGCAGTGGGAAGCCACATGCAAGCAGCTCTCACCGTGGATCACGTGCAAAATCCCAAGAAATAGAATGCCTAGAAGTGCCACAAGTATCTCGACGTCCCACTCGAGCTTCCCTGGATTGCCAACCCAATTCCTCACCAGTCCGGGAGGAGATCTTAGCCAACTTGGCCAAGAGTGGTGTCCGGGACGTGTATGTGGACGGGGGCCAGACGATTCGAAAGTTCCTCACCGCTGGGCTCCTTACCAGGAGCGCAAGATACCAGACAATCTATTGAAAGAGACCCCACATTTTACCCACTGCTAGAATTCGCTGAGCATGCCAGGTGCAAGGTTTCTTCCTGTAACTCAAGGGAAACCTATGACACTGAAACACTGTGGCATCACTGTGATGGGCGCATGGGCGCTTGACTCCCCCCCAATTCCGCCTGCCCCTTGCCCGCGCGATCCGCGTGTTCCGGATTGCTTCAGGATCCTCGTCAGCGAGGTTCCCGTGACGCTGGGCGACGGGGTGCCCTTGTTCAGTGCGCAGGACCTGAGCCGACTGAAGGAGGTGTCTTCCAGAAAGCTGGAGGGCGGAATGCGTCAGGTCACCTACACGGCCAGAGCACGGCCGGAGCACGAGTGACCCGGGGTCAGAGAAAGTGGAGCCTTTCGGAGCGGGGCGGGCGGAGGGGAGGGGAGAGGAGGGAAGGTGGAAGGTGGAAGTGGACAATGGTGATGCCTTGCTCATTTCGTCCGGCTGGACAGGCTGGACGTGAGACTTCTTGGAGAGATTTTGACCCTGAAGATCCCTGAAGTTTCAATGTGAAATTCTGTGGGCAGACAGGAGACAGGACCACAGAATTTGCTAGATTCATGGAACATTGGTGGATGGGGGCACCCGATTGCGGCTGACTCGTGCCTGCTGGAGAGCAAAAAGATTTAGATGCTGCACAGGCACTGAAATACACCGGCCTGACAAGTGAACATCTGGATGCCTCCAGCCAAGTTGACGTTTTTCGTGCCATCCCGGGAAACTTTTTGAGCCATTCGACAAAGCCCAGTAAGCAAAATCTGCCAGGTTGCCTAAGGGGGGGCTTGGAAGCCGCTTGCCAAGTTGACGCCAAGCCCAGTCCAAGTTGTTCCAATTTGCTTTCCGTGCTTCGGAACTTTCATCACAGAAAGGCATGTGCTTGCAGAATGTCGCGTACTTCAAGAAGCTTGTGCCCTTTTTCACTGAAATTGTCGCTGAGAACGCCTCTGGTTCGTGGCATGAATGACACCCTCAGAAGGCTTTGAATGACACCCTCCTGACCATTTAACCTCACGGTGCACCCGGCGCATGGTTCGGTTCCCTGTGTTCTGCACGTAGCAGTCTCCAGAACATGCGTTCTGAACAGAATGTTTGCATGAAAAACCATAGAATGTGTGCGTGAAGAAAAGCGCTTGTTTCTCAATTCAAGCTTCCGCTTCCTTGCGGAAGCTTGCAGTCACAGTAAAAACCGTCACACCCAAGCTGTTTCAACCAGAGCAAGTTTGTGGTTTTCTCCAGGATGACTGGCAAAACGGTATAGCGATCTGCGGATCTGTGAGGGCTCTGACTCTGAGCCACATTTGTTAGAGATTATATAGATTGACTTCATTGCGGATCTTTCGGTATCGATGAGCCGGTCTGCTGTGTCCAACATGTGCCGAGAGGCAGCAGACTTAAGTAAGTTCACACTAAGGCCGGTTTCCTCATCCATGGCTACATCTCAATGTAACAAATATATAACAGAGTGATCCCCAAATCTAATAGAACAGTGTCCAGAACATTTACAGTGGGGATGTACTTTTCTATCTAGTTGGGGGTCTACATATATATATATACTATTATGGGCTAGGGGACCCATAACCGGCGGCGTTGGAATTGTCTTGTCAATTTGTCATCATATTTGGCTCAAGGATGTTGTATGAGTCTATATCTAGTTCCTTTTTGTTTGGTGGCTGAAATGGGCGGCCTTCTTAGCTTCCGTTGTCATGGGAGGCTTTGGACCCCTCAAACGACAAGGCCATGGGCTTCCAACATCGTAGTCGCAGAGATTTGAACGGTCATGGATTCCTATTTTGGGGCGACTTGCCTTTCGTGAATGACATTCGTCCGGATTTTTGCTGGAGGAATTCTTCATAGCGCAGGGTCAGTAGAACTTGTGTAATTTGTTTGGAAGAACAGAGCGTGCATGACGCTTTTGTATTGTTACATCCTGTTTGAGGGCTCAGCGGTCGCGATTGGCACAACGGCTCGTGCCCATGGAATGGCGCTGCCGAAATGGCTTACGGCCCATGCCAAGTTGGTTTATGCGGCTCGGCATTCTTTGCGTGCGGTGTAGCGTGCGGAAACACCCGCGTCCCTGGTTGAAAGACCCACTGCCTTGTCCATTTTCAGACAAACCGTGATTGACGGGAGGCTGAGGTCGCTTTGGATGTCGTTGACCTCTTTCGACCCGTTTAGACCGGTGTCGCCCTGATCGGACGCCACCCCCTTCGATGTCCTGTCCTCGGCACTCCAGGATGTTCGGGTATGGTTCACCTAAGTTCGAAGTGGCAGCGCAAAACTGGTGGCACAAATCAGATGGTTTTGGTCTTGGTTTGGGGAATGTGTGAGGCATACATCAACAATCAGATCTAGCAATACATGGAGACTTTGTTATTCCCTCGATAGCGTGAGCTATTGGGGTTCTTACTTCAAGTAGAGGAAGAGCTGCATTTGTGCGTGTTCGAGTGGTGGCGCTGCAGAGTGCCGCTGCTGTTCCACTATCTAAAGAGCTGCGCGTGTGCGTTCTCGAGCTTGGGTGCTTCGAAGCTTGGGTGGAGGTGCCACTGCAGGGTGCCACTGCTGTGTGCGCGCTTGGGAGCTTGGGTGCTGGAGCCTGAACAGGGTGCCGCCAGTGGTGCCGCCACTTGCCGCTGCAGTGTGCTGCTGGTGCGTCTTATGTGGGGTCTTTGCCGGCGTGATTGTTTTGCTTGCTCTCCCCGACTGTCCAGAGAGCTGAATGATACTCCACCAAAGTCACCGAAGATTGTAGGCTCTTCCTTGGAGCCCTGATGAACACCTAAACTCTACTTGGGGGCACCCCGAATATCCCAATTCGACGGCATTTTCCGGAGAAGTGACGAAGAAAGGTTCCAACATCAGGTTTCCTCCTGGGCCGGATGTTCTTTTGATACTCTGATGAAGCACGGTTTGTGGGGTCGCGCCAGTTGCATCCGCGCTCATCCGCCATCCTCCAAGTCAAGGTCTCAAGGTCCTCCAAGAAGGAGATGGACGTGGTGGTCAAGCGCATCTCCAACTCACAAAAAACAGTGACTCAGATTGACCGAGATGGGACTGGGAGGGGTGTGACTATAACAAAAAGAAATATATAGGTTGCTTTATTTACGGCATCTGACTGTCAGATGGCTTACATTTTGTTGAGGGAAGGTTAGATCTTTTGTTCACAGGTTGGCTTGGGCATGCCGTCGACATTGTCCGCCCCCGGCATCGACCGCAACAACATCCGCATATTGTAGCGAGGTCAGGGTGGCACCATAACGCCCTTTGTGAACAAATTCATTTTGTGCTGCATACCCAAAGTTTGCATCATCAACACTGCACAATGCACATGTTTGATCATGTTTGCATAATCATATATTTTGGGATTCTTTGTTGGGAGGAGGAGGAGGAGTTGAGTTTGACGCAATCCTGAACCAGGCCTCGACCCACTATCATGATCTGAGACGATCTTGATTTTTCCCAAAAGAAGTTGGTTTGGGTTGGGTTTCACACTTGGCGGACGCACGAGGGACCCTCGCCCTCTCACGGGAGCCTTTCAAACATGTTGCGGGGGTGTCACGACGCATTGCATTGCGAAAGGAACACCTATACTTTCCTCTACTCTTATAGGCAAACTCGAGCACAGGAGGTGACACTTGACAGGTAACACGTGTGGATCTACTTACAGGAGCAGTTTTTTGACATCGAGGAGTCTGCTTACAGGCTCTTAACAGGATCATTTGGTACATTTCTGGCACCCCTCCGGTCGTGCCTTCGGCTTCGCCGAACACATCGGTGCCCTTCCCTCTCACCGTGTGCTCCGGGTGCTCGTGCCGCCAGGTGTGCATTGTCTTCGCCAAAGATGGTGACTTGTTCGCAGCAAACTCCACCGACTTCACCTGTGTTAGCATGGTCTTTGTGTTGGCATGGGCTCAAGGTGGGGCTGGCTTCAACCAAAACCACGTTCGTCCCATAAAACACCCAGAAAAGGAAAAAACGACAACTTTTTCAAGACAAAAGCCAACCGGAAGTCCTGACATGGCTTTTGTGATGAGGATGCGGCAGTCATCCTGAAGACAGGGGTTCGACTTTAGGAGGACAAGGGGAAGACGTTCTGCTTGCTATTTGTCCGTTGTATCCACTTGAGGGTGAAAAGTGAGTTATTTTCAGACCGTGGTTTGTGATGTTTTCTCGCTGAAAATTGGAGTGCCAGCTCAATTCTTGCAGCGGAGATGGCCAGACTCCAAGGCTTTCTTCCTATAGCATATTTTGTAGTGGCTGTGGCCAGACATGTGAAAAGCAGTTGTGCCCTCGCTGGCTTCCAAGTTGCTACCCACAGGTTCTAGTACCTCCCCGATTCCGAAGACAGCATACCCAAAAACACCAACAGGGAGAACTTTGAACAAGAACCCAGACAAACAACATGTGGGCCAAGAACACACTGAATACACGCGACCTTCAGATGTACTATAAATATGTTTTATTATCTAGGTAGACAGCGGGTGGGTGTGGTCGATGTTCTTCCTTTGGTGAGACGAAACTCAGGCTTCCCTATTCAAATGCACAGTTTCCCTGTGACGGTTGGATGTTGCAACAAGCTGAGGTAAGAAGAAATGCAATTTTCTGTTGATTGGGGACAGGTCATGGGGGTAGAAGGCCTTCTATGCCCTTTTTTACTCATCTAAACATATTCCTAGAGTCGGTTGAAGGGAACATCTACAGGACACCCGTAGTTGTGGGGATTCAATCCATGGTTTCCCGTAGATTTTCCCTTGATACAAGCCTAAAACCAATCCATTGACATATTATTCCCTTAAGATTGGGAAAACCCACTCATGCAAAAACAAAAAGATCCATTCCACCACCGGTTGAGGCAAGACAGAGATGCAGGTGCCCTTCGATCAGATTCTGAGCAAATCTAATCCTTTGAAGCTGCCGGACGTGTCAGCCGTTGAGGCCGTTTTTTCTTTTTTTTTGTGGCCAGGCATGGGCAAAATCTCTGAAAACCATCCCACAAGAACAGAGAATTTGGGGATGTCCATGGATGCCCTCAGTGCAAGGCCGGATTCAGCTTTAGTCACTTTAGCCCAGTGCGCTAAATCTGAAGAAGACACTGGTTTGGTGTGGTGTGGTGCTGGAGCAGACCCGCTGCAATTCATGGTCTTTAGCTTAACACACTAGAGAGGTCCTTTGTCCAGTTGATTGGGACTGCAGGCTGTTTGCCTGGACACTCCCATGAGCGGCGCCAATCAGATCCGTGGTTTTTCTCGCCGGGCAGCTCTTGCCCGGAGGAGCACTTGAAGGCTTTTCCATGACGAGAACGCGAAGGGAAACACCCCCAAAAAGCACCCCACATGGCCACGTTGGCCTTCCACCGGCGTTCCCACGTGCCCACTCGGACCCGAAGATGTCTCGCGTGGGCGCTTCCATGTAGGATGAGAACGAGACGTTCTTCGAGGCGATGGAAGGCTCGGGCCCGGTGTGAACGGTGGAGCGACCTGACCAACCGAAGACCGACACCGTAGAGAGGAAAGGGAACCAGGACCGAACATTCAAACGATACCACAAACCCTTGTTGCTAGTAACTTCTTGCTAGTAGCAGTAATGCCCTTGTTGGTAGGAGAGAGGAGCTACTACTAGTATTGCCCTTGGCTACTAGTAGCTACAAGAACCGAACATTCAAATGATACAGTACCGCATGCCACAACCAATCGAAGGGCTGGCCGGGACAGTGAGACTGATAAGAATTCACAAACGTAACCAGTTTGACGTGGAGACCACTTTTCTGAGGGACGTGTTAGTTACATGTTTTTTTTTTTTTTTTATAAACCATATCATATATATATATATATTAACTTTTACTATTCACTGGCTAGGCTTGTGCAACCTTTTTGACCTATTTGCTTGTTTCACTTGCCATCGGGGTTACAGTAGGTCACTTCTGTGATTTAAACTCAGCTCATGTGCCCTTCCTTCCACCAAGTGGAGCTCCCTAATCAATATCCGTGTAACCTGCTGGACTCGATGGCTTTGCAGTTGAAGACCTCTGGCAGAAGGGTTGAAGACGAAGATCTCTGGTCTAAAAAGATGGGATGGGACCGGATGGGATGCATATCTGGAAGGGATGGACTTCTTCAGCTTTGCCGTTTTGCGAAAGTGCTTTTGAGTCCTAGAGGTCGTTTGTGTCCCTTCAGCATCTCTTAGTGGGCCTTGACATGTCTGGATCATGTGAGCCGAAGCGGGGAGCCTCCTTCGGATCGCTACCCCCCCCAAGCCACGACCTCGATCTGCTTTTGGGGCGGAAGGCTCTTGGTTTCAAAAGACGCAGAACCTGGACCCCAAGGCGAGCAGACATGCTGATGGTTGGGTAGTTGATGAATGTTGATCACAGCTTATCATTGAGTTTTCCATGGTTCATGGTCACAGTCCAACGAGGCTTGCTCCGTCATTCAAAAGCTTGAAACCCGAGTGAAGCTTCAGCATCTTGATCTTGGCCCGAGTTTTCACGGCTCGACCTTCATGGACAATACCAAATGCATCCCTTTGGTGGGTGCAAGATGGTGCAAGGGCTCGCGGGGATCCCGCCCGCCCGTGCAGGTGGCCTTGGGCTCGGAGAAGGGGAAGTTCGCCTTCCAAGGCGGTCCCGAAACGCGTGGGGAGTGACGGGCTGGTCTGCACGAGCCGAAAGCCAATCCAAGTTCCATGGAAGGGTCACCACTTGCCTCTTTCGAATCTCACACGGAGTGTTGACCGGAAAGAACTTGTCGTCACCCAAAAGCGAAGTAATTAAGTATTACTTGAACTTGGTGTGAATCCAAGGATTCCACTTTCCACCGCGCCCCCCGGGCGCTTCTTTCCATTTCTTTCCCCCCTCCGGATCGAAAAGAAAACCCACCGCGTCCGACACGGAGAGCTCCAGAGGTCCCACGGCTCCGCCGATGATGGAAGTCTTGAGCCACCTGGATGGCCGTTTCGCCGCTGACGCCCGAGCTGCGCGGACGCCGTCGGACGAGCGAGGAGGGCGGGCTTTTTCGGAACTCCACCATGTGGTCGATCGAATCCCCAAAAGAATCGATCTATCTCTAGGACCTCGAATGGATCTCGTGGTTTGGAGTTATATATAATACGGGATGCCGAGCGGGCAAGACGTCCGGTTCTTCAAGGCCCCACCACCGCCGCGAAGGCCCCGAAACGCCCGGTGACCCGTCAACCTGAGGTAGCCCGGAGCGAAGCCCGGAGCCGAGGAGAGACCGGCGGTGGGTTTGTAGCCCGGTCCGGTGAGCCGAGAAGAGGCCTGCCCCGAAAAGGACCTCAAAACGGGATGAAAACACCGAAAAACTCCCAGAAGTTGGCTGAACTGGCAGAGGTGTGTTGATTAGGAGATGTGCTGTGCCCCGACTGGACTTGCGACCATTTCCCAGGTAGCTGCTCAGTACGCTTGCTCAGCTTTCGCTCCCTCTATGAAACATATATGCATTGCTGCTGAACCTCCACCATTGGCTCAACGTGCCTCGCAGGAAGCCCAAGAAAATGAAGGAATCCAAAGCGGCTCGTTTTGCATCCAGAACATACACTGTACCTTGAATGGCTCCAGCCTTTTGGCACATATATCTATAAATTATATGTATATATACAGAGTTTTGAACTTGTTGAATTGTTGGCCTTTGGTGTGATTTCACAGGCAACTTCAGTTTCATCACCTCCGCTGAGGAGGGGGGGCCCAAGACGAAGGCAAAGGACGAGTCGAAAGACAAGTCCGAGAAGCCCAGCAAGGCCAACATGGGATTCATCCCCAGATGATCCTGAATCCCAGGACCTGGAGTTGAGCCTTGATGGTGCCTTAGATGTTTCATGATGTTTCTTCCAGGACCTGAGAATATAGCCTCTTCCAGGGCCTAGTGGGTCACAAACGCACAGAGTGTTTTCTTTCCTTCGATTTAGAGGACTCGGTGAGATAGAAAGGGTCGAAGCACTGGCACGCTGCGGTCAAGGGAGTCCTTCTTTCAATCTTTAGTACGATCTCTCTCTCTATATATATCAATGGCCTCCACCTTAAGAGCTTCCAGTTACTAGTAGCGATGGCCTCCACCCTAGTAACTTCTAACACTAAGACTCTATATTGATTATTGATCTGTCAAATCTTGGAGTGTGGGTGTCGCTAGATGGTGTGGGCGTTTTTTCCGGAGCTGCACCCCGGAGTCGTGTGATTCATGTGATGGCTGCGTTCCAAGTTGCCAGGGGCCAAACTTCCTTACATCAGAATGGATGAGATTTTGGCCGAGCAACCGACTATAGGTTATACAAAGTCATATACACAGCTAACTAGGAGGTTTTGGGTTCCAGGCTCAGGCCCTGACAGTGATTCTATTGTAAGGGAGCTGACTTCTTCCTAACATGTAGAGGTGTCAATGACATTGAGCAGAAGTGTTTGCTGTTTGCCCTCACGAGTGGAAGTGCTGCTGCGATGCGCGCAGGCATCCAAGAGTGGACGTGAGAAGGAAGAGTCAGGCCATGATTTCAATAAGGCTCAAGGAGTGACATGGAGTTCTGGTATCCCCGGCGACCTCCTGCTGAACCCAATGCCCAAGAACATTTCTTGGGAGGACATGATCCAAATCAGAATTGAGCCAAGAGTCTTTAGAGGGTTCGGTAACGGACATCAGGAAAATTGGGGTCTCATGGAAAGCACAGTTTAGGATGAGGAGACATGTATGGATGGGACATGTTCTTTAAAATGACGCTTCGCCCGAAAGGAAAGCGAAAGAAGGAAAAGGACCAGGAGGCCCGACACGTTCCTTCCGCTCCTCTTCCAGGTGTTACTGGGGTCCGACCATGTGGATTTCCGTGTTGCGGTCCGACCATGTGAACTGACGGTCCGACCTCCGTGTCGCATCGAAGTTAGATGAGCTACCTGGCCCTCCACCTGGGCCCCTCCTCGGGCGTCGTAAGAGCAGGTGTGACGTTTGCAGACGAGAGTGGACCTGAAGGGTGAGCAAGGTGCAAGGTCAAAAGTGTTCAGCAATCACGCGGACCTGAAGGGGGGTTTCTGACTGCCAGGCTGGGAAAGAGGGCAAGAAGACCAAAAAGAGCAAAACATGAAGGCGCAAGGAGAGCGGCCGCAAAGAAGGCCTGGTCATGGCAATTCGGGGTGCTGTATTGATTTGCTTAAAGATGTTTAAAGCACTGCAAGTCGGTAGCCATGATCAAGGCCAAATCCTCCAGAGTGTTGGAGATGGACATGAGTCAAAATCCGACATCGCAATGTGAGCCACAGGGAGGAACTGCCATCCTGAGATTTATAGACCATCAGAGCGGAAGGGTTCACACATGTTTGGGCCGAGGGTCATTCTAGTCTAGCAAAGTGACTGATCCCCTCCAACAATGTATTTGGGAAACGTTAGACTGACATCCTTCTCCACAATCACCCTGAGAACTTCTTATTTCATTCCCTGCCCCGGAACCTCCAAGCAGTCGTCCATTTTTTTGAACCTGGTCTCAGGTGCTACCCTGAGCCAACAAATGGAACCAGCCGCGAAAATGGTCCTACGAATGGGGGGGGTGGATGGTCTTTGATCTTGATCTGCATTGAGGGTCTCGCGGTCTCAGATGGCAACTTTCAACAGCTGGACAGGGCATAGACTGTCGACACTTGTTCTATCCATTTCTTCTTCTGTTTTGGACCAGCTCATGGAGGGATTGAGGACAATTGTACCTGCGATGGTTGATGTTGAACACACACACACACATATATATATATATATTATATTGTATATTTACTTATTCATTTAGTTAGAGAGAGAGAGAAACAATCAGAAGCGCGCACACACACACACAGAGTGACCCTTCTTGCATTGAACAATCGAACAAGTAGAGCTTAACCTTCAGATCGCCGTTTTTTTCCAGGCACTGCCGCGCCATCCCAGACACGGACGGCTCAAACGGCTTGTCCAAGAGAACTCGGGGACTGAAGAAGAGCAGAGAATTCAGATGTCACAAGTCACCGCTGTTATATACAGACGTAACAAGAAGCCACTATTACTACGAGGAGCAGTCTTACTACTAGTAACAAGGACATCGCTACTAGGAGCAACGGGCATGACTACTAGTAGCATTCTTAATGATATAAAGCTTTTACTGGTCTATCGATGTTCAGCTCCAAAGCATTCTCTAGAGACCCTGTTCATCGGTGCAAACCAGGCTCAACCAGGCTCGGTTCAATCAGATCGTCGCTGGCCGACTTGGTGGCCCAAGGCATCGCATGCTGCCCGTGTCTTGAGGAGAGAAGGGCCCACTCAAGAGTAATCGTTTGACGGTTGAATTGACTCCATCATACTCCATCTATATATCTATCCACTCGAAATGCAATAAAATAGCTTCAAGGTCCTGGTCCCTCCAAGTCAGGCATGAGAAGCATGATCCCACTCTTGCGCAGCACATGGCGCGGGGAACCCCCAGCCAGAATGACATAAATGACAACATTTGGAGAGATCAGAACCAGCTCCAAGAGCTCAGAAGTACACCATGGTGCACCAAACCCCGGTGAAGTACCATTATGTATTTCACGGCATTTCTATGTCATGATCAAGAGTTCTTCTTTGTGTCACTGCCACTCCTGCCACCCCAGATCTCTCCAAGCTACCACCAAACCGTTTGGGCTTCACCGCCATGGCCTTCAACGAGGGCAACTGTTTGTGGGTTCGTGGGATTCCAATGGACTGTCAGAAGGAGGACGGAGGGGACCGCTACGGACGGGTGGCAACGCAGGTTCTCTCCGCGTCGCACTTGTCCTGAAAGGGAAGGGAAGCACCAGCACTTTCCGGCAGTGCGGCAGGGAAGCTGGAGTGGTCCGGGGGTTTTGTGTGATTGGTGCTGTATGCTGTCTGTATGCTGCATGAGGATCACTTCCAGAAATCGGACTGTTGTATAAACATGTGTGTTACGAGAGTCAAGGGGGCTCAAAGGATGCCAGGGCGACTTCCACACATTGAAGATGTATGCTGCCTGCGGGGGAACCCGCTGAGATGTGTTTCGATATTTTTGATCTTGATCCAAGAACAGTACTGCAGACAGCATGTTTGTGCAACTTTGGTTCGTGCGCATGTTTGTGCAACCTGTTGGCATGTGCGACGCGGTGCTGGCTCAGTGTTGAAACGCGGCGGCCATCGATCCTTGAATCGCCTCATGCTCAGTGTTGCTAGTACAAGAACTTTGTGTTTTGGCTGCTGGCAGAAGTCCCAAGACGATCGAAGACTACTCGCTTTCTCTCTCCATTACAGTATGTATATAATCAAAGTAGTTTGTCGTAAAGCGCGTCATTTTTTGTTGGGAGGCTCGTGTTACTTGTTCTTATTTTATATATAAATCACATTAAATCACCATCATCCACAGCTATAGGGTGGGGGCAGGGACAGAGACCATTCACCGTGTTCATATCCCAAATGAGCTACGCATATATACAGTGACATGCAAAAACCCGATGTGAGGGTTTTATAAGGAGTTGCACCAAACTTTGTAAAGAATGGATTTAAGAATCCGGCAGTCGGCAGTGAGACAGCGTGAAAAAAGCAATAGTGACGTGCAATTTGGTGGATGTGACCTGGTCTAAGGATTTGTTTCGGGGTCCCGGCACCGCTGCGACCCACCCTAATCGGTTTGAGGCCCATGGCAGAAGCCCGCTTCGTGGGGATCGACCTGGGCGTCACCTCCGCCTGGGAGCTCAGCGGGGTCGCGGTGGGTCAGCGGTCGTCGCCTCCATTCCTTGTAGGATTGGACTGGCTTAGAAGGCAGTGACTGCAGACAATGGATGACATTGGATATAGGAGATGTCGGAGATGCTGTTTGTCTCGCACATGGGTGCAGCTAGTGTCACATGTTGATCAAGTTGGTTACTAAATGTAATTGTAATTATCTAATTGTTTTAGTCTTAAGCAGTGCTTTGGATGCATGTTGCCCCTTTGCTGAAGGTGGTTGCGTCGTCTACGGTGGAGGACGGGATCCAGATGGATCCAGGGTACCTTGAGGGAGACTTCATTGGAGGGATGAGAAAGCCCCTTTCGAACCCCAGAGTCATCTCAGAAAGGAAGCCATGGCATGTCGGAACTTGGGTGGAGGCTTTGGACCGTTGGAACCCTGGCTCCAGGCGATGTGTTCGGAACTCGGGCGAGACGGACACAGAGCAGGGTGGCTCACCAACAGAACAACATGGGTGGATTAGATCATATTAGATTTGGAGCTCGAGGAAGATTGGAGTTGTGCAATTGTTGCGCAATTCATAGGAACTGTCGCTTATAATGTTTATTATGGAGATGTTTTTGCTTTGAAACAATCCCTGCCGCGTGAGTTGCATATCTCTAGAATTCGCCCAAGAGGAGTGGAAGACTGCATCTACCACTAAGAAGCATCCAAACGGAAAATGGACCCCGTGGGAGAATGTGTGAGTATATATTTGTTAGACTTCCATGCTAGTCGAAACACCGATGACCTTTTCGGAGCGTTGGTGCCGTTGTGGACGACACCACCGGCGCCAGGAGCCTAATGCCATCACCATCAACACCAATGACGTGTCGGGCCGTTCGACGCCCTCGGCGGTCTCGTATGATGGCAAGCTTCGACATGTGGGGGTCGCTTGGAGATGATCCGTTCGACGTCCATGTCTTGCCTCCCAAAAAGAGATTGAACAGGTCATAGGGTGAGCTTCCAGGAGGGGAACGTGCATTGATCTATATATGTTTGTTTGTTAGATGTTGATGCCCTTGATTGGGATTGGAGGGCCGCTCTCAGTATAATTGTTGGGCCCAACTCTAATCCGCTTGTAAAACACCACAGCAGTGGGTTTCTTGCCCCGAGGCAGCCAAGACCTTGCATAGAGACCCCTTCCGGACAGGGCTCACCTCTGACACTGGGCAGTCGCAGAGGTCAATGCCGAGGGTCGGCTCATGAGCGCGCCGAAGCAGACCTTGTCGCAGCTGGTCTTGGCGCTGTCGGGAAATACCATGGCGAAGAGGGCGGAGAAATACCAATGGCTCTTCCCGTTTCAAGAGGACTCTTGGGAATCGCCCGGAAGAGTGAAGAACGCGTGGGTCACTTTGTGTATGTGTATGTGTGTGACTTTGTCACACTAGGGTCATTAGGGCCCAATCAAACGGCTCGTTGAAACAATGTGATCACCCCAGTCGGACCATGAATCGGGTGCTTGTCAAGACCCAGTCAGACTCCATCGCAGCAAACTCTCCTTTGTTCACCTGTGTTATTCACTTGGGAAAATGTAGTGTCCTTGCTACTAGTAGCGATGCCCCTGCTACTAGAAGCTTCATGTTCCTAGGTTTGGCTCAAGACGGTGGGTGGGCACGACGGTCCTTTGGATCGCTGAACATCGACGGGCCTTGCCGCGCCCTTTCTTCTCGCGCGGTGACGTTCAGGCGCGACGGTTCGTCCCACGGTGATGGTTCAGTCCTTCCAGGACGGGAGGCTCGGCCCTGTGACGTTCGATGGCGACGACTTTGCTGTGCACCCTGCCATGCCCTTGGCTTCATTGCTCCGGACGCTGAGCAGCTACGCCGGGACAACGAAGCCAAAGCAGCTGTGCTTTGGATGAAGCTCCAGTTTGGAACACGTGCGTCAGGTGTGATCAAGCCTGCTCATAAGCATATTATTTCCAATCCCGCGGTGGCCACCGGACACCTCATCATCACTTCTCTTTTAGGTCACCATCAGCTCCGAGCTCATCCCAACCCCCCCCAAAAAGCTGGATGTTGCACAAAACCAGTCAGCCGTTTCCTTCCCTCCCATTTTTCATGGCTACCTTGCCCGTCGCCCCCCCCCCCTCGCACCCCAAACAACCCCCAAAAAACGCACGCGATCGCGCGGCGGTTCCGCGGCGCGTTCGCTCTCCGAGGTGCGTGGCGGTGCCGGACTTCTTCACCGACGCGGAGCTGGCCACGGTGAGCGACGCCGTGAAGCTCTGCGAGCTCGCCGCGGGCGAGGCACACCTGCTGCGGCACTCCTCGGCGGTGGCCATGGCCTTCGGACACAGCCAAGGCTGGAGGGGGAATGAGGTGGGGTAGAACATGATAGAACAAATGAAAAGAACAGTAAAGGCTTAATTATTGGCTGATGCCCCCTTTATCCCCCGAATAGTTCGGGGCACACTGTTCGTTCCCATCTACAACGTTGAGCAAGCGCACTTTTTCATACTTTTTCGACTTTCGATGCTCCAGAAAATGAATCTTCCTCCCTTCGTTTTGGTAGACCAAAGAAACACTCAAATGGGGGCTGGTGCTCGGCGGTGGAGGCTCTAAGTTGCTCTACATTTACATTGACGATTGATCGAAAAAAACCCCCGACCTGGGGCCCCCAACAGAATGGGTTCACCTCCCTATAATATGCCGGGCCTTATTGATCAACAGTCAACCTTCCGTTCACCATGCTTCAAAAAGGTGTCCACCATGTGTCCTTCGCCCAGACCGGGCACCGTGCTTGGCAGGATCGAAGCTTTTTCCAGAGGGTGCCGAGTCACGCACCGTTGGCTTCGTAGACGTTGGCTCGTCACACGGGACTGTCTCAGTGGTGAAGTTCTACCGAAAGGAGAGCTTTTTTTCGGATTCCTCGGTCAACACGCCAAGGTGATTCAGTGTGGGTGGCTACCCATGTGTTTGGTGCCCATAGTGGGAGAGGCTGAAAACCTGTCAAATAGATGTAAAACGCATTCGGTCACATGTGCATGTGAATCGTGATAATTGTTTCTTGTGCTTGAGAGAAGGCAACCTCAATTGCTTGTGTTCAGCGAGTGCCCCAGGAGGATGGTGAGACTTTCAGCGAGTGCCTCTACCGCTGTAGCGAGGAGGAGCTGGGAGTGCAATCCATGGTGAGATGTCTTCTGTCAGAGGCAATCTCTCGAATTGAGCAGAAGCACAAGTGCAAGGCTGGGACTTTTCGGAATGGACCTGCAGGACCTTGCTGGGTGCAAATACTGAGAGTTTTCACTGTGACGTTGCCATGTTTTCCCATCAGATCCGGTTTTGCACCACACCCAGGAGTCGTCTCGCCTCACATTGCGTCGGCGGAATCCATCCAGCTCAGGATCTCATTCGGGTCCTTCCGATCCCTTCCGCACGTGCGTGACGCGTTTCGTGACACGTTCGTGGTCCTCACCTGGTGAAGCTCCGCTCCCTGAGGTGCTTCTGAAGACCAAGTCAGGTATCCGCCTGTCCAACGAGGTGGTGCATGCCTTGAAGCAGCTGAGTATGCTCCCAGATGCCGAACTGGGCCTGGACACTCGGCGGAGACATGGAAGTTGATCTAAATCTCGGTGTAAGGAGTTTTATATAAAACAGCCTTTCAGGATGTTCTTAGAGGTTCGCGAAGGTATTTTTTGTGAACGATTTATCAAAGGTCTTCGCTCTCATATGTTCTTTCCTTTCTAAAGTGCCCCCGCATGCCCCAACGGTCACAGACTAACGAACTGAAGCCTCAACGTTTCCTTGCCCAGCCCTCGCAGTGACCCGCAGCTCTGACAGGTTGTGCAGATGTTTGCACATGTGCAGCTAGCTTGAGGCACCAAAACATTCCCCGAGCTGCACCACCCTGTGTTGGTAGCTGGCATGAGGATTGGGTTGAGTTTGCTGTGAGTGACCCTGAGTAGCTGTGGCAACTCTCAACCTTGTGCTGAGGTCATGCTACAAGATGTGAGTCAGTCCCCTATTTTGAGATAAGACAATGTTTCCAGCTCATGTTACCTATAGACATGGGTTTAGGACCATGCTTCGCGATGGGGCCGGACCCGACCCCCGTTTCGCGCGGCCTCAGGAGGCCTTTCTGCCGGAAGGCCCGGAGGGGCCGGAGATCGACGTCTCGGTGCCCTTGACGCGGCACATCTTCGAGACCGCGGCGGCGGAGGTGCTCAAGAGGCTCAAAGAGGCAAGTGGGTTCGAGTAATGGAAGCGACATGGGCGGTGAGTCAAAACTCCGGCACCCTAATTGATGCAAGGTCCAGGGAAGTGATCCTGTCCCCCTCCCATGGTTTGGTGGGGGGGCTTTGACTCACAGCCATGCCGTGGTGTGGAAAAGGAAGAGAGTGCCAAGAGGTGCCAGGAGTAGAGCCAGTCATCCTGGAGTAGATTGAAGATGGAAACATCCAGACAAGAATTGGACACTGGTCATGTTTTATTTTGGGGTTGGTTCACATTCTATCTACTCCAGAATGGCTGTATATACATGGGGAGCTACAGGTTGTAACTTTTGTCCAGTCATGATGGAAACACGTGATGGGAAAATGGGTGGAGGGAAGTCACTGAAGAATGAGAAGCAAGCACCTCAACATTTCTCGCTTCTGTTGAGCCAGGATATTCATCGGGGCCGGTTCATCCACGTAGGAAATCAACGTGGAGCCGTGGAGCTTTGAATTGGGCATGGGTCCACCTGGCCAGAAAAGTTCATGCATTGTAAATGTGGGAGAACATAAATTTCTTTGGTTCTCAGTTGGTCTTGGCAAAACCCAGTTGGAGAGATGACCGTCGAGCCTGCTAGGAGCACTCGCATGTACATACGGGATCACACAGATACGACATAGTGTGCTGATTTTATCTGATTTTGAGGTTTGTATATTTTATATATGTTTTATTGTACAAAGTAGAAACTATATATATAATATATTATATAGGTTAGATGTTTCTGACAGATTTGACAGTGAAACCGAGCCAGGGCCAAGATGTTTGGGATTTGGCCGATGTCCTCTAGAAACAAAAGCGATACGGTAATAGCGGAAACCAAGATGGAACATTTAATATTTTTAGGTTTCTTTGGGAAATCCGTTCTTCAGCCACATTTGGGGAAAGCAACTGCAGCCTCAGAGCAGCTCTCTGCAGCCCGCAGCTTGAACAATTACAGGTTTCGTCCGACTCTTCGGTCAGGCCTTGGTGGAGGCTTTAGCTTTCCAGCCGGAGGCCTTTGAGCTTCTGGGCGGTGGGAGCCGCATTCCGGCGGTGCAAGCACGCGTGCCTCGGCCAGGGTTGGAAGTTTTTGCGAGTTGCGCAGCCTTTGGTTAAACCTGGTCACTGGGAACCTTTTTGTGGCCATGTTCGGCCCACGATGCCCTCCACAAATGCGGGCCTTTCATTTCGCTGCTTAGAAGGCAGAAGAAAAAAAGAAACACATAAATAAAAAAATACAAAACAGAAAGAAATAAAGAAAAGAACATAACAGAAAATACAAGAAAAGAAAGGCAGAAAGACAGGAAGACAGAAAGACAGACAGACAGAAAGACAGAAAGACAGAAAGACAGAAAGACAGAAAGACAGACAAGCAAGCAAGCAAGCAAGCAAGCACGGACGCACGCACGCACGCACGCACGGAAGGAAGGAAGGAAGGAAGGAAGGAAGAAAAAGAAGACAGAAAAAAAACAACTCACCAGATTTGACTTGATGAACTATTTCAGGTTGGATCGACGAAACTCACCTCACTTGCTCAGGTCAAAGAGGTCGCCGGTGAGCTGCCCCTGCGTTTTGGCTTGGACGGTGCTAGCTGCGTCGCCACCGGCGCAGCAGCCTGGGCGGCCGGACGCCGATGGGTGGATGCCTTGGATGTTCCCATGGAAGGCGGTGGCTTTGCCGGGAAGACGAGGTGATTCCAAACGGAGTTCCCGTTTTTGCGGTCCAAAATGATCCCAGTCACAATTGGTGCCGTACACCACCAAGATATCCAAGCAGTTAGCATCAATGTTGATGTGTGTTTTGAGGCCGCGAGAGAGCTAAGAGCCTGCTGCAGAGAGAGGGAGAGGGAGAGAGAGAGAGAGTGAGAACCATCAAAAACCATCAAGAATTCATGGCCCTGAGCTCCTCAAATGCTTTGGTTTTGGAAGGTTTGGCGCCTGATGTGCTGGAATCCATCCGGGAACAGGAGGCCAAGATGGAAGCCATTCACAGTGAAGAAGTGTCACCTTGGCTGCAAAATGGGCGCGATCTTGCTCAATGAATGAATATTTAACTGAAGGTTAAGTTTCTTCTTTTTTAACATATATATTTGCTTCATTCTTCTCAGGAAGCGACTGGAGAAGCGGAACGCACTGGAATCCTATGTTTATCAAGTGCGAGACTGGATGACCCTCGGCCTTTCCAAGACTGTTGCGCCGAGGGTTTAGAACAGGCAAGAACGTCGCCGGTATGTGTTTTTGCTGGTGCATTGTGTGGCACGAGGAATGGCAAAGATGGCAACTTGCTGAATCCAGAAGTCATCAATCCATATCTGGACAAAGTGGTGCTGTGGTTTGAGGATGCTGACATGGCAGAGGAACCCACGACTTTCCAAGCATATTCTGACAAGCTTTCAGAAGTTGACGAGTTCATCAAGAAGGAGGGCGCACCTTACTTTGAGAAGAAAGCGAAGGAACCTTGTCAGAGCCCTTTTCGGTACGATTTCCAAGCTGTTCGATGCCGATTTCGGCCCTTTTCGCTCGTGCGTTCGTTCTAAAAGCTCCGCCAACCAATAACCGGCTCCGCCCATCAACAACCGGGCGATGCGATTGTTCATTTGTTATGCGTTTTAGATGCTTTAAATGGATTTTTGCAGGCTAGAATCACCCGCCAGACGTGCGTGCCCGCAGCACATGCTGTTTCGAATCCATCTGGACGGATTCGCGGATCGTGCATGCGCCCCGCATCCTGGAGCGAGCTGAGGATTTCGAAGATCAAGAGAAAGAGATTGAAAACGCAGCAGCTGCGGAGCGTGAGCGGCGAAAAGAGCATGGTATGGATTTTGACAAGGTGGGAGCTGTCTCATGCTGTTTCTGGGCAGGGTTTGTTGGGGGATGCTGTACCGGGGCTGACAGGATGAGCGAGTCATGAAGAAGGAGGACCGAATGCGATTGGCACAGAAGAACAAAGATGAGGGTAATGACCCTTGCTGGATGAAGCAAGTGCAGGGAGCAGAATGGCAGTTCTGGCGAAGGAAGGAAACGCTAAGAGAACCAGGGAGCGACCAAAGGGAATTGAAAGGGAGAAGTTGCATGAAGCGAAAGTGTTTTTGTTCCGTCATGTATAGACCTGGACGACTTCTAGACGGCATGATTGGGCCTCGCAGCCTAGCAGAGATTGCCAGATTGTCAGCACCTGTTACTACTAGCGTGGCACTTGTTCCTAGTAGCTTCTTGTTACTGCTAGTAAGGCACCTGTTACTACTAGCG